GAAAATAATAGTTAGCAAATACACTGTTATATATCATGTTGGGTAAATAATTGTTTTAGTCTCTTGCTTCCTTTCCTATAAAAGGAGGAACTCAAACTAGAAATTAATATGACTAAGGTTCCTCACGGATGAATAAAGTGAGATAGGTACGAGGGATGGAAGCGAGGGGATTGCAGAAACTTCCAGATCTTTCCATTTAAGCCAACAAGTCTGATACCTCTTTCATAAACTTTCAACCTTCTAAATATATATATATTTTAATTGCCATTAGGCATGTGCACTCACTAGAGAGAGAGAGAGAGATGAAGGAAAAAGGGGAAAGCACTCCCTCCCCAATGGGGCATGGCCATGCCATAATTCCTTCTCTATTTCTCTACTCCGTCAGGATCTTGAGCATGCATCCACATGCATTAAACATGTTTTTAAGCCACTGGGGCTGTGATTCAAGCCATGGTCAACTATGTGGAATCTGGCTCCCTTAACCAGTAGGCCAGAGGACTGGCCTTCTAACTACTTCTTAAACATAAATCTTCTAATATTAATATAGATACAGTACATAACTCTCATATCAATGTACTCTAAATTTTTAGTTTCAAAAAGTTGTCAAATATATGCTAGAATAGGAATCTCTCTAAACACCTGATTTTTGTTAGTAATTGTATTTTGCTTAGGCTGAAAGGCTTGGGTTTCTAGAAACTCAAAATCCTAAAAGCTGTAGTGATGACATTCACAAGTGTGCTAGGCTGATGTCAAGAGAAGACTTTTTGTTGTTGTTGTTAAATGCCAGAGTGCATGTGCATATGAGAAAGAGAGAAAGAAAGTACCCCTTAATGTGGCCTAGATATACTGCAATCTTTTTTCCTCCAACTCGCAATCCCATCAGAATTCTGAGTATTTATATGTACCCAGAGTGTTTTTCTTTTCCTTTTTTAGTTTTTGTTTTGTTTTGCTTTGTTTTGTTTTTGCTATGGGACATGGGTGCTTGCCAGAGAGAGAAAGAGAGACAGAGACAGAGACAGAAACAGAGAAAGTGAGAAATCATCCTTCAGAAGGGATGACCATGCCACAATCCCTTCTTCTCCCCTTTCCTCTTGGGATTCTAGGTATGTACATACATGTGCTCTGTGCGATTTTCTGATATAGGACCAGAGTAGGAGTTGACCACATGGGAATCCAGCGCCTCAACCTCCATGCCACCTGCTGACCCAGGGTGTTTTTCAAACTACAGAGGCCAAGACTCAAACTGGCTACATCCATGTTGGATCTGGCTTCCTAACCACAGCATTTAACCACTGCAACACTGGGCAAGCCAGAATCCTTTATTTCTTAAAGAAATGTAAATTGAGGATCAGTAGATAGCACAATGGTTACATCACTGGATTCCCATGTAGTCAACCACGGTGTGAGTCCTGGACCAGGCAGCTTAAAACCCATGCTGGGTGAGTGTGTATGCATGCCCAAAGTCCTGAGAGGAGAATGGAGGAGAAGGGATTGTGGCATGGCCATCTCCCCTGGGGGGTGATTTCTTGCTTTCTGTCTCTCTGTCTCTCTCTGTCTCTCTGGCAAGCACACCTACCCTATAACAAAAATCTCCCTTAAAAAAGAAAAAAAGAAATGTAAATTGTATTTCAATATGCCTCTCTCAGGGATATATTTATTAAATGACTACCAAAAGAAATGATAACAAAGGATGCATTTTGCAGCTGTAAAGGAAATGTTCAAAATTCCCAATTGAATTCACGTACAGAGAGAAGGTCATTGTCATGCATTTCAGGTTTCATTCCTTTACAGTTCTAATATATTATTCCATAGAAGGAAGAAAAGGCCATTTATCTTCATCCTTTCTACTTTTAGAAGTGACATCACTAAAATCTCCATCTCCTAACTAAATGATTGCTAAAACGCTTGCTGATACGAAAATTCAGCAGTATTTTATTAAAAGACACAAACCACATATTTAGTGAAGGAAAATAATTAATATAAATTTCTGTCATTTATGGGTAAGACAGGATTCCTAAGAAATAACAAAGCATTTCCTAAAAGAAAAGCACTTCATACCATTTACCTTCCTACAGGGATGCAGGGCTACAATAGACAAATTTTAAACCAACAATCAACATTTTTTTATATTTGTTTTTAGTTTTTATCATAGGGTGTGTTCACTAGTCAGAGAGACAGAGAGAGAGAAAGTGAGAAATCACCCCCGAGGGGCTGGCCGCACCTCAATCCCTTCTTCGTTCTCCTCCTGGGATCTTGGGCATGCATGCACACGTGCATGGCGTGATTTTCAAGTCACTGGATCCAGGACTCAAACCACAGTCAGCCATGAGAGAGTCCATACTGTCATCTGCTGTTCTCAGCATAAGTATTTCTAACAACTGATTATTATCTGCAAGTCTACTAAAAACCATCAATTAACAAACCAGAAGACAGAAATACCTCCTGTCTTTTCTACTTCATTCTTCCTATTTGTATTTTTAGAAAAGCCCTAGTATCATCAACCTTAAAAAAAAGATGGCATGGTAGTGAAACCGGTGACTTGAAAAACACCCTGAGTGCTGTGCATGTGTGCCATCCTGAGAGCAAAGTGGAGATGGGACCACAGTGTGGTATGGCAATGGGCCATATCCCACAGGGGGTGCTTTTTTACTTTCTCTCTCTCTCTTTCACTCTCCCTTTCTCCAGCAAGCACATGTGTCCTATGTCAAAAATCTAAAAATAAGTAAAAAGTAAAATAAATAAAAATTTTAAAAATACACATAGAAGAAGCCAAAACAACCTGCTCTTTCCCCCTTTCCATAATCCCAGTTTTATCTCCCTACCCTAGCCCAGTATGGTTTTATGTATTTACTTTCCTTCAGAGTCAAGCTTCTGAAAATAATTTTATGCTGTCATCAGGTCCTCCTTCTGCTTTACTCTTCAGAGTAGCACCCCATTATTCTAGTAAACTTTGCTAAGGTTACCAATGACTTCTCTATGAGCCAATAAATCCTACATGACACCTATTCTTGTCTTTCAATTCGCCATGTGTTTGATACCCTCCTGATTGTCCTTCTACCTTTCAGGGTATTTTCTATTTGTCTCTTCATATCCCATCTCTCTTATTCTATACCCCCCATTCAATTTTTGTCATAAAGTGTATACAATCTGGCTAGAGACAGATGGGGGTGAGAAGGGAGATGGTGGAGTGGAAAGCATCCCACCAGGGGCAGGGAACACAATTCCTTCTTTTCCATTTTCCTCTCAGTATTTGGGGCATACAAGCACATATTCCTGGTGTTTCTCAAGCTACTAGGTCCAGGACTCAAACTGCACAGTTGGTCATTTGGGATTCAGCTGTCTTATCTACCATGCCACTGGCTGTCCCTCTATTTCTTTTCTTTCTTTCTTTTCTCTTCTTTCTTTCTTTTCTTTTTCTTTCTTTCTTTCTTTCTTTCTTTCTTTCTTTCTTTCTTTCTTTCTTTCTTTCTTTCTTTCTTTCTTTTTTAATTCCATTGATGTGTTTCATCTATAAGCCAGAGAGAGACAGAGACAACACCCCCAAAGGGTCATGATGCCATGATCCACCACTCCCCACCCCAGTCTCAGCTAGCCCCAGATCATGGACACATGCATTCCTGGCATTCTCAGGAAATCTCTGGATATGAATATGGAACCTTCCCATGTTGGTCAACTTTGCAGGGCTCCACCATCCAGCCTCCTCATAATCTATTTTGAAATCTTACAGTTCTTGACAAATCAGCCTCCTTTGTCAAAACTTTTCCTGGAGAGCATATTGACTTCATTTTCAAATACAATCACAAATTTAAAATATGGGTCCTTTAATTTGTGACCTCTCTCTAAGCTTAATGTCCATATATACAACTGTTTCTCATTTCTCTACCCCAATATCTTAGAGGCACCTAAAACTGAATGTTTCTTCATGTAAGCCCTTAACATTCACCACCCTACACACCCTCCCTTAGACTGCTCGATGTCAGTCTTCCTCATTTCAGCAGGTGGGACTCCATCTGACCAGCTGGCTGCTCATGCTGTGGTTAGAACGTCATTTCTCTCCTTACTCTCAATTCCAATTTAATTCATGCTTGGCAATTTCACCTCTCGAGTTGTATTTAAAGAAAGATTGAAAAAAGATACAATACAATTCTAGGTAGAGGTTCTTAAGCAAGCAAAAGCCAAAGAACAGTAAAGACTACATGTATTTACTTGTACACGGGTATGTGGTCTGCTGTGGGTGGAGTGACTGAGGAGAGGTGATGAGAGCAAGCCAGGCAGAGGTCAGGTCCTGCAGGGCCATCAGACACTCATCAAGGAGACTTCCTTTCCTTACACAGAATCACTGTGCAGTTAGAATGGTGACGGACATTGGAAAAGGTGCAGTGGACCTCTCCATTGTTTTGGCTCAAAATTAGACCAAACTAGTAAACCACACAGGGTTTGGACTAGTTATTTCTCAAAATACAAAATGCTATAATTTTGTGCTGGTCATTATATCTTTAGTAAAGAGTTAAGATACTATGTGTGACCAACATCAGGGTTAATTCTTTTTTCAGATAAACTTTCTGACCATACTGTTTGAATCTTATGAGTCAATATGCCAGCATCTATAGAGTTAACTGAGTTTCACTTATACAAGAAGTTGGAATAGTTATGAAGACATAGCAATTTAAACATTATATTCACAATGATATTGCAAATCTGTAAAAGATTACCAAGATCCATCAGTATAAGACAAAGATTTCTTAACAATGCTGCACATCTACAATTCAGTTTGGGAATTTAACATTTAGATAACAAGACAAAACATGTAAATAAATAAGGCCATATTCCTGGGTGTCATGGAATGTGCATCATGACAGGTTACTCTAAGAAGTAAACCAATCGCAGTGCCCAGGGTCTGCAAACTAAGCTCAGGGAAGAGGACTTTCAACAAGGCTGTGGGAGCATAGAGGGTTTCCATGGGAAATAATAGTTCCTGGATGGCAAAAAATATCACTAACCTTCATTTCCAAGATAAATGAGTAGTTTTAACTTTAGACACAATGAAAGTCACAAACTATTTCAACAGGATGAAAGGAAAATCAGGGATAAACAAAAGTACACTATGATGGCCTGACATGGTGATAGTCAAGAGAGGCTTAAACCAGACAGGAGATACTGGGTTCTGGGACCATCTCTGGCACATGCTCTATGACCTCTATGGAATTTAGATCCCCTTTCTGTTCTAAAATCCCAAAATTTGGGGATTCTTGAGAACCAGAGACACTGCTGTATCAACAGCATAAGAAATCGAATGAAATTTTGTTCTCTAAGGAAAGAGAGACACTAACTTAATATACTAATCAGGCCCCAGGCAATATAGCTTCTGAGACTGGTAATCCTCAACAATTTAGTAAGAAGGCTAGTTTCTCCCACTATTGCATGGGCCAAGCCAAAGTCCTCTGCTATCTGAGTCTGTGAAGATTTTATTTAGTTTACTGAAGCAATACTTTGCTCAGATAATTTGAAAAAGTTGGGGAAAACACTCCCAGTTGGCTTAATATTCTGGGGAAATTTGGTTAATTTTTATTATTTTTTAGTTTTTCTTTTAAAAAATGTACAGTTCTGGGTGTGAGCAGAAAAATTAACAAATGACGTTTAATATGGTAACTATGTATGTATCTACCATCTATCTTATGTTCTTATTTCTATATGCAACTGGTGCCAAATACCAGGGTAAAAAGTGTCTTATACTTTTAAAATGTAGGAAATCTTTGGTTGTTCCCATAAGGTCCCCAGTAAATTTCAATAACCAACGTGGCTCCCCCACTAGAGGAAAGGGCCTGTGTTGTTGGAAGATTTCTGTAGAGGTCAAAGCCAGGACTACTGGGAGACAGGCTCTTGAAGGACAGAACTACTTAAAAACATGTCTCTAGAGGGAGTACAAGGAGAACCAGTTCAAATTCTGTTTTAGGACCTTTGCACTCTGAATACTCTGTTCAAAGCAAGGAAGTTCCCAGGGCTAGAATCCCTGAACTCCAGAGGGTCACGAAAGGAGGGCTAAGAATCTGAGAGTTTGTTTTGCTATTTTAAAAGAAAGTGTATATTCAGCAATGACACGACTTGGCTGCACACACTACAAGGCTTCTTTGCTTTGGGTTAAAAACTTATCAGTTAAATTTAGCGATATTAGCTACATCATTGTTTCATTCATTAATACATTCCTTCAACAAACATTTCCTAAACAGCTGTTCTGAGGCTTCGGGATACAGCAGATAAAGATGAACAAGGTCTCTGCTCTACTGGAGGCTACATTCTAATTGAAGGAGAAAAGGAAATTTAAAATGTCAGCTAGAGATAGATGTTATGAAATAATCCATTAAACAGGTAGATGGCTGCTTTAGAATGGGTGGTAAGAGAAGGCTTCTTCAAGGAGTGGGTGTTTAAACAACATTCAGTACCGAGGATCTGCCATATGAATGTGTTGGAGTTGGGAAGACCACTGCCCAGGCCCTAAGGGCTTATGAGCTTGGTGTGGACAAAGGACCACAAGGATGGAATAGCTGGGATGTAGGGAAAATGGTTCAAAATGAAGGAAATGGGGACCCATCTTGTGAGTGGGTCTTTGTCACTCCATTTAAAAAGCTGGATTTTATTTTAAATGCAATGGAGCATTTTAAGGTGACATTTTTAAAAGGCCAATCTGGCTTCTGAGTGGAGCACAAGTGTAGGAGCAATAGTCCAGAAGAGAGAAAATGCCAGGGCAAGCAGGGCAGCAGGAGAAGAAAGGAGGGAAGAGATACCCCCCTTTCTTCTGCTCATCAGAAGCTCTGACTACAGCTTTGGTAAGAGAGGCTGTGGGCAAAATCCCCTACAAGCGATAGGTCCCTTAAAAACCCAGGGATCTTTAAGGTGAAAAGACTGCAGGCAATATATTTTCTTTTTTCTTTTATTTAGAGAGAGATTTTTGCCATAGGGCTCGTGTGCTCTCCAGAGAGACAAACGGAGAGCAAGAATCACCCCCTGGGGGGGATGCCTACGCTGCAATCCCTTCTCCTCCATTCTCCTCTAGAGATTTTGGGCACGCATGCACACGCATCCGGTGTGAGGTTTAAGTCACTGGGTTCTAGGACTCAAACCACAGTTGACTATGTGGGAGTCCAGTGATATAATCACTATGCCATCTGCTGGTCCCAACAATGAATTTTCTAATAGGCCTTAAGTTAGTGAGCAACTTGACAAGCAAATGTCAAGTTTCAACCATATTCCTCTACAATGTTTCCTCTATCACCTTTAACACAAGGAATCATTAATGAACCCTATGTCATTAGGCATACTTTATAAAAACAACGATGACAACAACGTATTTATCTATTGAGAGAGAAAGTGA